ATCGGCAGGGGGGTTGTATATTGATTGTAATCTAGGGGATTACTATCGATATATAGCACCTTTTAAATTTTGCTGATGAAAATAGAAAATTTAACCACGATTGGAAAATTAGATACAATCCTGAATACTGTAAAACAAGAAGTAAAAGAATGTTTAAGATTGCTCGGAATCCCTTTTCAAACCGGTGATAGTTTGATGTCTATGCTTAAAAAATTAGTAAAAGCTTGTGAAGAAATTGAAATAACCGGCCCTGTTCAAAGAAATTTATTGAGATATTTGAAAATGTTGGATCCTAAAACTCAAATAAATAATCCTAAATCCTTTGGAACTGAGTCTTCGAGTATGGATGCTTTGGTAAAAGCTTGCTTTGAAAATAGTAGAGATATTTTAAACAAAGAACAATTTGAAAATAGACCTGAAATTAGTTTTGTAAGAAAATTAATGAGATGTCATTACTATTTGGTTGGAAAAAGCAACCTATTGAGTGTAAAAACAATGGCTAATAATTTGTTTAAAATAACTGATCTAGAAAGTGAAAAAATGTTTAACAGGAAAATATAGAAAAATATCATTAAAAAAGAATATGACTCATTTCTTATTTTTAATCCCGAACACAACTATATTAATGTATTATTAAAAGATACAAGTTACAGTAGGTATAGTAAACTTAATTATGATGACACTTTTCTTAACAAATTACAATATTGTTATTGGCTTTTAAAACGAGAAAAATACAAAATAGTAGAAGATGTTTCAATAGAAAAAAGTATAGATGATATGAGTGTTGATGATTTATTTAAACCAATTTATCTTATTTATCATTAGAATAGACGAAATGGAATGCTAGGTAAATTTTATTTTTATGAGTTTTATTCATTTCTTTTGTTTTTTAATTACATTATCATTTAGATTATCAAGGAAAATATACAACTCCTGAAGAACTTCAAAAAATTGTATTATTAAAAAATAAAAAAAAATAAATAATTTTCAATTAGTTTATATTATTAGTTAAATATATTATTTTTATACGTATAAAGAAATTATAAAGAAATTACAATTTATATTATTATTTTAAACATATTTTTATAAATAAACAGTTTATTTTTTATCTAAATCAATATTAAAAATTGAAATGTCTGAAAACATTGAAAACGTTCATCCAAAAGTTCTTCAAATTCCAAGTAGTTCAGGAGAACTCGATCGCATACAAGAAATTATTAATACTCTAAGTGCCGATAAAAAAAAACTACAAGATGAAATAGAACTTTTAAAATTGAACAACCCTCTGTTAGAACAAGAAAATAAAGACTTAAAAGATGCAAACAATAACTTAAAAAAAGAAAATGACAATTTAAAAACATCAAATGATACATTAAAAAAGAAAATGAAGAATTAAAAAATGAAATTAAACTGCTTACTGATAAAATCCATGATTTGGAAGAAGAAAATAAAAAGATTAAAGCGGAAAATGAAGAAAATACAAAGGAAAATTTGAGTTACAAAGAAACTTTAAAAACCCTTAACTCAAATATTAATACTACTTTAAATATATTTAATGTTAAATATAATATAAACGATCTGATTAAAAAAAAATAGAAGAAATTGTAAATTTAGCAAAAGCAATAACGACTATTTCTGAATCAAATTAACAAAATAATTTTATTATAATATATATTTTATTGTATAAAAACAATAAATTATATATGATAATAGAAAACTAAAGATTCTATTTTTTTTTAGTTAATTTAAATATTAAAACTATAAAATAAAAATCATATTATATTTTAATTTATATTATTTATTATAAAATTCACTCCGAAACTCTGTTTTGATAAACTATATTTAGTAATTAATTACGAACTCTGTTTTGATAAACTATATTTAGTAATTGATTAAAGTGAACTTTGAAACTCCGATAAAATTAAATAATTTGTAATACCAAATATAAAAAAAATACTGATCGTTAATACAAATACCTACGAATTTCTATTTTTTGTAATTTTACGCTTTTATTTCTTGAGAGTAGGGCCTCTTTCTTCGAAAGTTTAGTTCATAAAGTAAAAATCACAAAGTTCAAGTGGTTCTTTCTTAGAAACGCATAAATTTCTCCTTAAAATAAAAGTTAAATTTGGTTTATTTTTATTTTTTTACTAATTGCTAATATTTTTTTTTGTTTCGTTTCTGTGGTCGTCATATGAAAGATGGTTTCAAAACCGCATTTACGTCTCTTGTAAAAAGAGATATTATGCCAGAAGGTGAGAATCCTTCGTCTTTCACTTAGAAATATGACAGAAATCCACCGATCGTTAAGAGCCTCACCAATCCTTGATATGCGGTTGCAGTTTATGATGTATTCTCTTAGAATCGATTTTTCCATTCTTCGGATTGTTTTTTCCAATCGTCTCTATTTTTTGTCATTTCAGATAATTGGGCTTCTAATTCATGA